GGGGACAAAGGAAAAGAAGAAAAAGGGGTCTCGCTCTCCCTTGCCAGCGGCCCGGATGAAGGTCCACGTCTTCGGGGCCCTTTGAAACACCAGCACGTTCGCATCTCGGGGGAACCTCATTCCAGAGGGCAGGCGCTGCGAGAGAGAAGGCACACTTCCGGGGTCTGATAGGTGGCCTTGTTGAATCGAAGAACCCGGAGTGCGCCAACCCTGCCAGATACTATGGGAGAGAGGCTGTCTCTCAAGTAACCAGGCCCCATGCCATCTCAGACAGATTCACACCAAAGTAAAGAGCAGACAGCCGGAAACAGCTCCTGCAGAGATCAGAGCCCGTCCCATGAACGGAGGGAGAGCCTCCAGGCTGCGCTCACCTCCTTCCCTGCTGTCCACTACAGGCTCTGTTACACACCAACAGCACAATCTTATCACTCGTGGCAGCAGCTGCCGCCGTTGACCTGGGACTGCAGCTCTCTAGCCTCGCCTGGGGATAAGCGGATGACTTGGGGTGATCGATGGCATATTTCAAGTGATTCAGATTACTATTGACATGGATTCCTGGAAGAGAGCAAAGAGGAGGTTACAGCACAGAACGCCCAAAGCAGAAAATGTCCCATCACAAAAGCAGCTCCGTTCCCAAATCTGGAAAAAAGCCTAAGGGAACTGGGCAGAAGCATAAGGCCAAGGCTCTCTTTGCTTCCTAATGCCCACAGACTTCTCCGGAAAAAAAAGTGGCACAGAAGTCAGAAGGTCAAAGGCCAGCACGACAGACCAAAGCCAGAGGACTTCCACCTGGCCCTCCCAGCCACAGCAATCCTTGCCCGGCAGGTGCCAGACAGATCCTGCAGGTCAGCGTACCTCTCTGGCTTAGGATTCCCTCTGGCCAGAAGATCTCTGGGGTCTCAAAGGCAAAGATGCAGTCACTCTCTTGCACCGTGTCAAGGTCATCCGAGTCAGAGAAAGAGCGATGGAAGCCATCGTAATACATCTCAGTGAGCACAATCTGGGGAAGCCCAGAGGACAGCAATGTCTCTCTTGCAGCATGGCCCAGGCCAAGCAGCACATGCAAAAGAAGCTCAGAGCAAAGGCGGACAGCAGGGCTCAAGCAGAGGACCTCCAAGCACCTACGTTCCTTTAACTAGAGGCACCAAGACTCAGCGCTAGAGCAACCTGATTAGATCTGCCTGATCAAATGCCTTCGCCCTTCTCTAGTGGCCAACCAGCGTTTCAAGAAAAACCAAAACCAGCCCAGCCTTGCGCACTACTGCCCCCCCCAGTTGTGGAGATGGCTGTGGAGAACTGCTGCCTCTTCAAAGAATTTGTCTCATCCCATAATTAAACCACTTGAGTTGGTGGCCATGGCCATATCTTGGATGTATCCAGAATCCTTCACCCTCCAGCTCCAGATGTTGCTGTAAAGGCATTATGAACATGGCAGCCTCAATTTCCATTCCTTTCCTATGGAGGCCCAGTATCAACTTTGCCTGAACGTGGGTTCTGCTCTCCTTGGGCTTCTGTCAACTAAAGTAGCGGCTTGCCAGTAGCCTCCTGAAAAGTGCTCACAGCTGGCTTCCTACATAGACTGTCAGGGGGTCCCAGGCAGGTGGGAATGGAACAGAGGCAGCCTTATCAATGGAAGGCTCGATGGAAAGGGGAAGAGCAGCCTTGTTGGGAGAACCACCCAAATATCCAGAGCCCCTCCACCTACCTGTTTGGCAGGTATTTTGGTTTCTCTGGCCACAGCTTCCCTCAGCTGGGCCACCGTTCCAGACAAAGGTACAGCCACTCCAATGCGCATGCAGTGGGAACACTTTCCTCGATAGACCACGGTGACGTACAGCGGCCTGCAGAGACCCAAGCAGACTGCTGAGGGGCTCCCTCCCACACAGGCCTGGTGCAGAGAAGAATGGGTCCATCTCTCTGAAGACCACCAGCTCTATCCCATTAGTCCCACAGAGCTTCTCATGCCGGGCTCACTCCCTGTTTTACTAACCACCTGTTAGTACTGTGAACAAATCTTTGTCCTCCAGACCTACCGTGTGTGAGGCAGTGGGATCGGCAGAGAAATGCAGAGGAATGGATCGAAAGTATTGCTCTGCTTCTGGCAATGAGGACATGTTAAGGACGACCTAGAAACAGGAAAAGCCCTCTTTTTGACACAGTACAGTATCCCCTTACCCAGGGAGGTGATAAGTGGGAGCCCTCTGGTGATAAGAACCCCTAGGCCAGCAGGGTAGTCCTCCCAGTTCCCACCACTACCTGTGGCCAAAAGTTAGATTAATCTCTGACAGCAGAAGGGAAGTAAACACCAAACCAAAAGACTAAGTAGATCTAATCATTAAAAAAATGAGAGAGAAAGGTCCAAGCTGGCCTTCGTACTGAAGTTCTCCGATCATGCAGAAGCATCCTTTTCTACATAGGAGCAACACATCATGTTAGATGCACTGACAGGTTGAGCCAGCACATCTACCCCTCAGCTTCTGTTGCTAAGCATCAGACCTAAGAGGATGCTCAGGAAAGCCAAGACCTGAACAGCAGCCATCTAGCTCACAGGTCCCACTGCAGACAGACCAGGCCAGACAGCTCAGCCCAAGAAACAACCCTACTTTATCTGAGGATGCTCTTTTTTCAGAGTTCAGGGTGAAGCAAGGTGAGCAGAAGATAGGAGGGCATCTTACCTGTACTGAGCTTGAAAGAGTTCCTGAACAAAAGTGCTGTTTACTGGAAAGATGGTTCCCTCAATCAGCACATCTTCTTCCAATGGTGGCTGAAAAAAATGTAATTCGGTAAGGCAGGTAAGTGTGGGCACTGTCAGGTATTCAGTAATGTAAGCGCCAGGGGCAATCTGAAAACAAATAGTTTCTGAAAGTTCACAAGAATAACATTTGGTAACGTAAAATAACATAAAATCGAAGGTCTGCCTCCCAATAACCCCATTTTGTTCAAAGACCTTTTGTGATCACAGCAGGACAGCTAAGCAGGAACGCACAGCACACACTACCCAAGATAATCAGTGCAAGGCCACTGGTTGGATTCATCCTCTGGAGTCACATCTTTCTCTCCACGTGGCTCCTTTACAGCCAAGCCAAGAGCAAATGGCTTCCAAAACAGAATATTTCACCTTCAAAGGAGGTCTTCCATCGTTGTTCTTCACTAAATTGTGGAGATCTTCGTGGACTCTGTCCAGAAGCCAAAGCAGAAACTCCTGCGCATCGTGTTGTGAGCTCCCTCGGAACTGCAGGGCATTCTTGGAAACAATGCTCTGCAGAGAAACAGCACAGGGCTGAAAGAGAACCAAACCCTGGGAACCCACATCCCACCTGCCACTTAGGAACAGCTTTCTGGCTCCTCCCATCAGGCAGGGAACCGGTGAAGCTGAATCCCTGCAAGACCAAGTTGTTGTGTGTCCAGAAACTATCAGGCTGTAACCCACATCATCAAATCTTTATTATGGTCAAAGACCAGCACAGGCTGTAACCCTGGAAAAGATATCACTACGGCACCCAGCGTCTCCAGGATCACCTCCTTCAGGTAGAACCCACCAGTGCAGATGCTCCAGGGGTGCACGAGTGGCTGCTCTCTCCCAGGTATAAGTTCAGAACTCTTCCCGTCGGCTAAAAGCAGCACAAACCTTCCTCCCCTTGAAGATTTCGGAGCTGGTGCTGACCCCCCCACCGGCCCCAAGTGGCCAGGACTGCTGGACTGCAACTTCCAGCTAGCAAAAGGGGGCCATCAAGGGAGACAGACTGGGAGAGTTTTCATCAAAACAGTCAAAAAATGGTCCCCCAGCCTTTATCACCAACAGAGAATACCACTTCTAATAGAAAGATCTGGCATGACTGAACCATTGTAGAAGTGGAGACATTCCCACATGCACTGACACCCAGAAAGGGGCAGAGAGCAAGACCTCAACAGCCTGAGGTCTGGAGGGTTCATTGAAGCCAAAAGGGCTCTGGGTGATTGGGTGCTAAAGTCCCACTTCAGGCATAGAGACCAAGTCTTTCAGCAGACCAGCAAAAACAGGGCTCTCCCAGGCACTACTTGCTGGTCTTCCTACTCTGGAGCCACCCACGGAGCAGGACAAAACAGGGGAGAAAGCAGGAGAGGAAGACCCCTCCAATTCTGCCCCGGGTGACACCGACACCAATCAGGTCACTACAGACTTTTTCCCCCAAATGTGCAAGGGGAAAAAAGTGTCAGGAGGTCACCATTCTTGTAGCAGCTGGGCTGCCTGCACAGGTCCCAGATGGCCCGGGTGGTCACCAGGGTAAGCGTGCTCCCAGGCTCAGCGAAGACCAACCCACTGCGCTGTGCCGACAGAGAATGACTGAAACAAGAAGAAATGCGCACCTACCGGACCCGCAAAGGGGAGGGCAGGGCAGGGCTGGGCTGGGCTTTGGAACCAGCTTGGTGCCCGTGCAAAATAACCCCCTCCCTTCTCTCGCCCCCTCCCTTCTCTCGCCCCCTCCCTTCTCTCGCCACTCATTCTCGTGGGAACTGGCCCTGGGGCAGAAATGCTCTCCCCCCACCACTGTCTGTTTCATTACTATTATTACTTATTTATTTGAGTCGTGCATTTGCACTAGGAGAGAATAGCACGTTCATTAATTATAAATCTGTTGCACTAAACCTCTCTAATGCTATGAAGCATTTGGAGCATTAAATAAAATATGTGCATTTTAAAAAACGTAATGCTTCCCCGCCAGCGCTTTTCCTGCCTGGCGAGAAACGGGGCACTCCGTCCCCTGCTCCCACTATGACGGCCAATGTTTCCATCCATTTTCAATGTGGAATGCAAGGGTGCAGTTCCAGGACCGAAAAAGAAAATGATTAAATAAACGACCAGCAACAGGAAAACGCAGCGAGAGAGAAGCTCAAGAACCCAAAACAAAGGAAGATTTGTATTCCTAAATTATTAAATCTATTTATTAAACTGAAATTAAAACTTTATGAGGGCCCTTTCCTTCCTCTTATTTCCCAAGTGCAAAATAATACTGTAACGCATCGGATGCGGTACCTGCACGGCAAGGGGTCTTCTTGACTTTGCATTTTAAGCCTGACTCTGCGCACTCAGCAAGAGTTGCTCTTGGCTCGCTGGCCATGGCTGTAGGTCCTCTTACTGTCTGCTGGTAACCAAACCATAAAAATCACCCAGCACCATCCACTCCTTGGGGGGGTGCTAGTGTGCCATCCAAGCCCCATCATCAGTCAGCACGCGTGTTAGAGAAGATTAATTTCGGAGGAGCTGAGCTCAACTCCTGTGTCAGCTTGGTCACGAGAACAGAGGTTCAGAGGGCAGTTGCCACCTCCCACTGAGCACAGAGGAAGCTGGGTCTCTTGAAGGCTCCCACTTGACCGGGTCATCCCTGTTCATCTGCTGCTGACCCACCAGGTCATCTGTGTTTTGAAAACTTAGCCACAAAGTAGAAATACCCAAAAATTCCCATGAAGCAAACCTCAAATCGCAATATAGGATGAAGTTTTCATCAGACAAAATAGCAAATAAAGCAAAGATGGGGGTGAGGGTGGGGTGGAAGGGGAAGTCTGGAAAGAAGTGGCTGATGATGAAGGCAGAGAATCTGCATTCAGCCCAGGAAGAGCCTGCACAACACACAAATTGCGGTGTGCCGACACAGGAAGCGCTGTCTCCTGTTACAAGCGGGCAAAGCTAATAAACCACAGTATGCACTCTGGTCTGCACCCTGCAGAGCAAGCCAGAGAACGGGGCTAGCGTCAAACAGTCCCAAGTCCGCTTGAGGCCCCGGGGTTTGCCGGGCGAGCCCCCCTGTGGGAACCACACAGACGGCATCATGGTTAACCCACGGCAAGGTGTAAGCAGCACCCTCCTGTCAAAAGGAGATGCAAGAGTCTGCAGACTCTAAAATTAAGCTCTCAAGGACGTTGCCTTCTAAGCCGCATCACAAGGGTTGATCTCTTGCTTTTGAAAATAGTAGGACCAGCTGATTCTCAGACCTGTCTTCACATTTAGACAAAACACGCAAGTTGTTTGGAAAACAAAAAGAACCAAGACCATTTTTAGATCAAGAAAACTGGAGACTGTTCTGGGTAAAAATAAAAGCAATCTCAAGACAAGCCGGATGGCTTTAACTGAGAAGTAACCAGGAGGCCACCACAGAGAAAGAAGCCCCGTCTCCGAGTAGCATAAAATCCTCTAAACCGGTTCAGATCCATTTCTGAACAATTACATTTAGCACTTTCCAGTCCATATTTTAACAGCCAAGGCCCAAAAATCCTTCCTAGGCACCCAGATGGATGGAGGGGTTTGCCTCTGTAGCGGCTCACTTCACCCTACCACCTTCAAAGCCGGGGAGTCCACTCTGCGGAAGTGGTACCAAAGGTCTGATTTTGGTTACCTCTAGCCCCTTTTAAAGCATGCAGGTCAGTCTCCGCCAGGAACCATGTTTGTCAGAGGCCTCCCATCCTTGACATAAAAGCACATCCACCCTCCTCCCCGATTAGCCTCTGCACTGCTCTGCACCTTCCTCGGGCAGAATCTTTGCAAGCCAGCCAAGCAGCACGCTTGTCCTCGCGGTGGGCCGAGGATCTGGCTTCGGGCTCCCCGCGCTGCTGACGTCAGCAGCAGCTTTCAAAAGGGTCAGAGGGGATGCACAGAAGCCAAAGACTGGAATCTGTCTGGCTTAGAGGATGGAAGTGCCCCAGACCCACCCAAGTATTGCCCCTCTGGAATGGCAGAAGCCTTTCCAGCACTGCTCACTTTGGACCACTCTAGTTTCTCCACTTTGGCTTTGCAGAGCCTGCCCTCATGAGCCATCCAAGAGCCCCCAAGAGAAATCGATGGGGACCTCAGGCCCAAAAGCTCAAGCTTCCCCTCCCTCTCACCTTCTCGGTCTGTTGTCTTTTTGCACCTAAACCTCTGTGCAACCAGGTAGAGGATTTAATATTGGCTGAACATCCCCTTTTACTCTCCAGAAATCAACTGAAGAGTCTGAAAGAGGGCAAGGGGGCCCTCTGCCAATGGCTTTTCTTCCCCTCTTTCCCCACTTCGGTGGGGCAGCACCTGCTCGTCTAAAGGAGCTCTGCCCACCATCAAACCACTTTCTTTCCAAAAACCACTACATAAGACAGAAAATGTCAGCTGATGGTCATCAAAGTGGCTACTCCCACACACGATTATCTGCCCATGTGGAAGAGGACACAGGAGCTGCCCAGCTGCTTATTAACATCCAGGCACCTCCAACTTTTAACTACTAGTCCTGGAAGAAAAGAGCATTTTTTCCCTTTTGCTCCAAACTTTTAGAACAAGACGACAGCATTGAAAAGGCAGGAGAATGTGATTTAAGAAAAGCTAAATGTGGCGTCTGGTACTTTTTGAGAACAGACTGGGCAATTCTGTGTGTTTTAAAAAAAGCTCCCAAGTTCAGGCAAGACTGATGGTGTGACACCAGGCGACCAAGTGCAGGACTTGGCTACCACCTCCTTAAGCAGCCCTAACAGATGACACCAGCAACGGAGGAGAGTCCCCTGGAGTTGACAGAACTACCAGCAAAAGCTTTTAGGCCAATTTGGCATGGAAACATCTGGCAGGCGCCACATTGACTGCCATCAGCCATTTCTTCTGCCAGAGAGCCCCTCTTGCACAGCAACGTCCCTCTTGACAACGCTTTGTGCCTTGCCCGCTGCATCAGCCAGCACAGCCCCGCCCACTCAATGCCCAGAGGGTGTCCGGAGGAAGGGCCGGGCTGCTCACCCGGGTCCCAAACGCAGCTCTTTCCTGTGGCCAGATTTCCTGCGGAATCAGAGGAATGCTGATGAGAAGTGAAGCAAAGGGGAGACGTGAAACAGCCACCCCAAGCATCAGAAAGATGGGCCCTCTGTAATCCACACCCCCATTCAAAAAAGCATTACAGGAGAATTTGGAGTTCTTTCTCTCCTTTCAGGTGAATCTGCCTAAAGAAGCTGTAGCAGAAGAGCGAGACACACACAGCACCCAACGCCAAGATCAGGGTTGCCAGCGATGCCAATCAACACCCGGCCACCCTCCCTTCAGCTTCATCCACCGTGGCAGGAAAGCTGTGCGAACAAAGCCACAGCTAGACACAGCCAGGAAGTCCACTGAAATTCTGAATTGCCTTCAGACAGCTACAAACTAATCCAGAGACTTCTGATTTGAGAATTCAGATTGGCTGTAAGATCTGATGCAAGGATTTAATTTGAAGCAGCAGCGATTCAACCGAATCTCCTTCGGATGAAAGGAAAATTCACACAGGCCTACTGGCTTGTAATGCACATCTGCCAATTTTGACATTTTTATCCACTATTGGAGCTGGAGTTTTCTCGACTGCTGGTTGAGAGCTCTCAAAATAGAGCATTTCAGGGCGGGGGGGGGGGTAGTAACTACTGTAATTTTGAGTGATTCAGTGGAAGGCAAAGAGTCAGGTTATTATGGAAAACAGAAATGCACCAGGGCACTCGCTGCACCCTAATTCAAAGAGCCACAGAAGGCGAGGACTTGAAATTGAGTGAAAGGAGGAGCAACTCCATCCTTTTCTTCTGAAAACAGAGCACCTTCTTTATCCTTTGTCCTCTGGGTACAGCAACTGGTCTGATACTGTGAGCTTGCACAAAAGCTTTTTATTACACAAGAGTTTTTAAAATCATTTTGGGATAACGAAGGTGAGGTAACAATATAGAAATGCTTTTCTTTATTTTCTTAATCATTTGGGGGGGAAAGGGAACTACTTCATAATCCATTTCTTTTATTTTTCCAAACTTTCAGAAAAGGTTTTCCAAATGTTTAGTTCTAGTAGGGGAATAGCTGAGCATCTGGGAATCTTTCACAGCTTTTCTTAGCTGGGTCTTCATACTGCACCCAACAGCATCGGAAGAGAAGAGAAGGTGCACCATCTTAGCAGTCCCCCATTTTGTGGGCATCACTAGAAGGAAGAACAAGGATTCTGTGGGTAAATCACCACCTAATGCCCAACATTCTCCCTTCTACAGCTCCTGGAGCAATTTCAGAGGTGGGACTTGAGCTTCCACAACTTGCTTGTTTTCAGGTTTTAAAAGACCAAGAGGGCTCCCATGGAGGGGACACCCAGGGCATCAAGGCCCTTTCCAGTTAGTATCTGGCCCGACTCGTTCAGTGGGGGCATGGTGAATCTGGATTTCTGTACTGGGTGCGGTGTCAGGATCTAGCTGCAGAGGGACTCTCTGTAGTACAGCTCCACTGTCATGGACCAATGATGCACTTCCAGGGCCAGGAGGTAAAGACACTGGGAATCAAAGCTTCTGCAAGGATGGATGGTCACCTAAGGCCCAGCTCAGAAGGCCTGGAGGTCCCAATGGGCCCAACTGTTGTTTTCGTCAGAGTGGCTGTACTTGGATAATTATGAACACCTGCTGCCGACAAGGCGTGATGCTTCCTTTCTTAAATAGAGGGTAGGAAGGCCTTTGTACGTTTTTAAATTCACCTGGCCTCCATTAGACTGAGGTTTTCCAATATTTTCTCTCACTATAGTGGCTGGAGAGGGGCAGTTTGCACCATATTAAGATACAAAAAGGGTTTTCTATGGATTGGCAGCATACGCGAAGACGGAAAGAGCTTCCATCCTCAGTTAAGACAATGGAGAGAAAGTTCTCTCGGTCCAGCTGGGTCTGCTGCAGGCTTCTGAAACCCATGCCCTGCCCCACCAGAGCAACCTTTCATACCGGGCTGTGGCATCAAGATAAATATAACCAGCCTAGCTGTGAGCCACAGCAACATTTTCAAAGTAAGAAGCTGCTGACATGCCAGCCTAAACAGGACCAGAAACTGTTCAACACCCAGAGCTTCTTCTTAGGTCATGGAAACAAAAATGCTCTTCTCACACATTGAGGAAGTGTTGAATAGCTTTCCTTTAGCAAGTGCTTGATGATGGTCATAATGGCTGGCTGTTCCCCCAGAAGCCGTTTAGCACCGAACAGGCTTTTCTGCCAGGAGGGCCTGGATTAAGACTTAAGAGGAGAATATGCATGGTCTCCTCTGCCCCTCTTTCTCATTACTTGTGTTTATTTCACACTTTCAAATGAACCTTCTTCCAAAACCTCAGGGTAACCTTCCTGGACTCTTCTCCCTCCACCAACCCCTTGCTGTGGAAGGTATGGCTGAGAGTCACCAGCCCCAAAGTCACATAAGGAACATTTTACCTGGTCTCAATATGAACAAGTACAGAAGGGGAGGCAATGAAGATGGGTGCCGTACTGCTACCAAAAGCCACAGACATAAGACAAGTAATTGTATTAAGCAAAGCACAGTAAGACAGAATATGCTATCTGAGGGAGCAACACCAAAGGTCCTCCCCTGCACTTCACCGGCTATATAAGTAAACCCCAGATTTAGAAGACACTTGAAGAACAGTTGACACGCAAATCACTTAAATGTTCTCAAAATCAGGTCACAAAAGGAATGCACCAAGGGGTTGTCTCACCAGAAGTGACTCCTAACTAGCTCAGACAATCACAGAATACAAGAGTTGGAAGGGATTGTGTGAATCATCTAGTCCAACCCTCTGCCCACTGCAGGAATCCCCCACCACAGCATAGTAGAAGATGGACATATGGCCACCTCATCCACCCCTCCAGACAAGGAGAGTCCACCACTTCCTTGGGCAGCCTGCGCCACTGCTGAACAGTACTTACAGTTAGGGTTCTGTTTTTATGTCCAACCAAATCCACGTCCTTGCAATTTAGACCTGCTATTTCTTGCCCCATCTTTCGAAGCACCTCTGAACAACTCTGCAGATGGCTGATTATGTCACCTTAAAATATTCTCTTCTTCTGACTAAATATGCCCAATATCTCCCCAAGTGTCCCTCATAGGTTTTCTCCCCCCAGACCCCTTACTATTTCGGTTGCTCTCCTCTGAACAGGCTCCAGTTTGTCAGTGTCCTTCCTAAGATGCATGGCCCAGGCCTGAATTCTGTGTGTGGTCTGACCAATGCAGAACAGAAAGGAGCAAAGGCTTCTCTTGATCTTGGCACTAGATTTCTGTTGTGGTGGCCTAGAATTTTTTTTTTTTTTGGCAGCTGCATCACCACATTGGCTCATATTCAGCTTGTGTTCCTTTTTGCATCTACTGCCACCCAGTTTGGGTTCCCCCACCCTATACCTGCCTTTGTTCTTTCCTACCCAAACATAAGACTCTGATGAAATTCATCTTGCTGGTTTTTGCCCATTGTTCCAATTTTTCAAGATCCTCCTGAAACTTGATACTACAGTATTCTCTAAGGTGTTTTCTATTAGCTCTCCCAATCTTTGTGTGATCTGCAAATCCAATAATCGTGTTTCCTAACCCCTCAGCCAAATCATTTCTAAACATGCTGAACAGCACAAGGTCTAAAACAGAGCCTGCAATACATCACTTAACATTTCTCTTCATCCTGATGTGGAGCCACCAACATACATTTGCTAGGCATGATTGTTCAACCAGCTCTGCACCCGCCTGATGGCAGCCCAGAGCAGCCCAGATGTTGTCATTTTCTCCACTAGAATCTCGGGGGAGACAAGTGCCTTGCTGATCATGGCGTCAACACATTCCCCTGGTCAACTAAACCAATTGCCCTATCAAAAATGAAGATCAGGTTAGTTTGACATGGCTTAATTCTGCCAGGTCATGCATTCTTTGCTAAATGCTCCCAGACTGATGGCTTAATAATCTGTTCCAGAGTTCCGCCCCTTATCAACATCAAGGGCGCTGGTCTGCAATGACCCAGGTCTGTTGCTCTTCTTAGGTAGACTGAACAGCTTCCCTTTGGGGAGAGGGCCAAAGAAAAGTGGGAGGGAGGAGCTCTGCCCTTCCCTTTTGCTGTCCTCCCATCCTTTCCTTCCTTTTACTACTAGCACAGCCAATAAAGGCCACGTTGTTGCTTTTTGCTTTCCTTGCAAGCCTAAGTTTGTTTTGTGCTTTAGCTTTTCTGACTTCCCTTCTTCTGGTATCAGTTCTTATGCCAATAGGCTTCCCTGGTGATTTTACCCATGTTCCACTTCATATGCGTGGCCTTTTTAACTCTCAGCTCAGTGGAACGCTTCCTATGCACTGCTGACTGTACCCAAGTTACACCCGGGCCAAGCACCAGTCCTTCCCGTCCCTCCTGAAGATTCCTACACGCTAAGAATGCAAGGCCAGAGCCAGAGCCTTGCATGGTGTGATGTGGGGGGGGAGCCAGAGGCCAGCTGTTACTGCTGAATCTTGTGCTACCAGACAGCTCCGAAAAGGAAAATGTCTTGAGATGCCTAACCATCGGCTTCCACCTCCTCCGCTCTCCTTTTTACAGTTTCTGAGCGCTGGTTTATGTCCTGAAGAGAAGCAAAAGGTAGACAGAAGGGCAGTATTTTTCCAGCTGACAGAGTTTCCTTCCATCTTAAAGACAGGAGGAAAACACGTCAACATGGCCAGGTAGATGAGCCCTTGGATGCCTCCAAGGTCTAAGTTGCATTACATTTTGAAGAATTTTCAGTTGTTGTAATCTGAGAATATGGACAAAGTGTGCAGCAAATGTACATTTGTCCACTTAATCCTTATGTTTCACAAGTGATAACTTCAAGATGGATTAAACTTCTGAAGTAGGAGCAATTGAACTACTGTAATGAACTTCACTGGACAGAACAATTGTGTTCTCTGAAATAGTTCCTTGAGATTCTGCTCCTCCTCCTGCTGCTAAAGGCCTCTTCCAAAGCCAACAAATATTGAAGTCAACAGCTGGTCACAAGCAGCCCCTTCCTAGATAAGATGCTCAAACAAGCACATGGTTAGAAGATCAATATCAGGCGCTCTATGATGGTCAATATACAACTTTCTAAAAAAACCAGCCCTCTTTTCTACAATAAGCCCTAAAGCTCTACAATTATTACTTAATATAATACAGGCGTTGCTGCTGAACTAAAAGGAAAATTAATCAAAAGAATGGGCGCCATGCTTGCTCATCTTGGTAGGAAGAAGGTTCCTGCAAAATAAGTCCTCTCACAGACATATGTCAGATGCATCCCTGGTGTTGGATGGATACAAAGAGCCTCTCCTGAGGAATCTCTGTGGTCACCCAGGCCAGTCTATACTAGTGCTGTTTAAAGCGCCATATCTAAATATCCCCAGCAATATCTTCTGGAATCACTTTTCCAGAGCCACTTCCAAAAACAAAGTCCCACTCCTTTTCCAGTCATTCCAGAAAGATACCATGCCTGATATCAAAAGCTACTGAGAGCCCAGTTCTCAATCTCCCTCTATCTGAGCAGGAAAAAAAAAAAAACTTGAGAGAAACCTCCATCTTCTCAATATCAATTTCACCCAGCCAATCACCAATTTCATGCATCAGTTCAGCATTCACACAGCATCATCTGA